AGAGAGAGAGAGAGAGAGAGAGAGATTGAGATTTTAATTCATTCATCAACACCGATTATAATACGTTTTAGAGATTTTGTCAACCTTGATTTTTTAAAATGAGATTACAAGTTTGCTTGATTAAGGTAATAGTGTTAATGTAATAAATTTAGACTTCTGTAAGGCACTTGGCTTGGTACCACATGACATTTTTATTAAGAAACTAGAATACATAATCAACATGGCATACATTAAATGGATTAAAAACTGGCTAACTGATACATCTCAAAATGTAATTGTACACGGGGAATCATCATTAATCATCATGTGTTTCTAGGGAGGTCCCACTGGGATTGATTCTTGGTCCTAAGCTATTTAATATTTTTATCAATGAACATATAAAATTATTAATAATAAAGTTTGCAGATGACACAAAGATTAGGGGGAGTGGTAAATAAGGAAAAGATCTAGTCACTGATACAGAGTGTTCTGGATCTGGGCACAAGCACACAATATGTGTATCACTATGTATATAGTAAAATATAAAGTCATACATCTAGGGAAAAAGAATTCAAAAAATAGATACGGGATGGGGGACTCTATCCTGGGAAGCAGTGATTCTGAAAAGGACTTAGGAGTCATGGTGTATAATAGCTGAACATAAGCTCCCATTGCAATCATATGCCCAAAAAGGTTAATGTGCTCCTTGGATGTATAAACAAAGGAATATCAAGTTGGAATAGGGAAGTTATATTTAGGGCTGTCAAGCAATTAAAAAAATTAATTGCAATTAATCGCGCTGTTAAACAATAATACAATACCATTTATTTAAATATTTTGTATCTTTTCTACATTGTCAAATATAATGATTTCAATTATAACACAGAATACAAAGTGTACAGTGCTCTGTACAAAAAAAATTGTATTTTTCAGTTCACCTAATACAAGTACTGTAGTGCAATCTCTTTATCACGAAAGTTGAACTTACAAATGTAGAATTACGTATGAAAAAACTTGCATTCAAAAATAAAACAATGTAAAACTTTAGAGCCTAAAAGTCCCCTCAGTCCTACTTCTTGTTCAGCCAATCGATCAGACAAACAAGTTTGTTTACATTTGCAGGAGCTAGTGCTGCCCGCTTCTTTTTTACAGTGTCACCTGAAAGTGAGAACAGCCAGCATTGCAAGATAGTTACGTGCCAGATGCACTAAAGATTCATATGTCCCTTCATGCTTCAACCACCATTCCAGAGGACATGCTTCCATGCTGATGATGGGTTCTGCTCCATAATGTTCTAAAGCAGAGCGGACCGACATGTGTTCATTTTCATCATCTGAGTCAGATGTTACCAGCAGAAGATTGATTTGCTTTTTTGGGGTTCGGGTTCTGTAGTTTCCGCATTGGAGTGTTGCTCTTTTAAGATTTCTGAAAGCATGTTCCACACCTCGTCCCTCTCAGATTTTGGAAGGCACTTCGGACTCTTAAACCTTGGGTCAAGTGCTGCAGCTATCTTTAGAAATCTCACATTGGTACCTTCTTTGCGTTTTGTCAAATCTGCAGTGAAAATGTTCTTAAATTGAACAACCTGTGCTAGGTCATCATCTGAGACTGCTATAACATGAAATATATGGCGGAATGCTGGTAAAACACAGAGCAGAAGACATACAATTCTCCCCCAGGGAGTTCAATCTCAAATTTAATTAATGCATTTTTTTTAACGAGCGTCATCAGCATGGAAGCATGTCCTCTGGAATGGTGGCTGAAGAATGAAGGTACATATGAATGTTTACCATATCTGGCATGTAAATACCTTGCAATGCTGGCTAGAACAGTGCCATGCAAATGCCTGTTCTCACTTTCAGGTGACACTGTCCATAAGACGTAGGCAGCATTATCTCCTGTAAATGTAAACAATGTGAGCAATTATCTGAACAAGAAGTAGGACTGAGTGGACTTGTAGGCTCTTAAGTTTTACATTGTTTTCTTTTTGAGTGCAGTTATGTAATAAAAAAAATCTACATTTGTAAATTGCAATTTCATGGTAAAAAGATTGCACTACAGTACTTGTATGAGGTGAATTGAAAAATACTGTTTCTTTTGTTTATCATTTTTACAGTGCAAATATTTGTAATAAAATAATAATATAAAGCGAGCACTGTACACTTTGTATTCTGTGTTGTAATTGAAATCAATATATTTGAAAATGTAGAAAAACATCCAAAAAGATTTAATAAATTTCAATTGATATCTATTGTTTAATTGTCTAATTAAAACTGTGATTAATCATGATTATTTTTTGAGTTAATCATGTGAGTTAACTGCGTTTAATCGACAGCCCTAGTTATATTGCTTCTGTATTTGGCGCTGGTGCAACCGGTACTAAATATTATGTCCAGTTCTGGTGGTTATATTTCAAGAAGAATGTTGATAAATTGGAGAATTTCAGAGGGCCACGAGAGTGATTAAAGGGTTGGAAAACATGCCGTATAGTGATATGCTCAATAGATTGAGCTCCTTGAGTCTAACAAGGGGAAGGTTAAGGGGCAACTTGATCGCAGTCTATAAGTACCTACATGGGGAACAGAAATTTGATAATAATCGGCTCTTCAGTCTAATAGACAAAGGTATAATAAGATCCAGTGGCTAGAAATTCAAACTAGACAAACTCAGACTAGAAATAAGGTGCTAATTTTTTAACAGTGGGGGTAATTAACCACTGGAACAATTTACCAAGGGTTGTATGGGATTCTCTGTCACTGGAAATTTTAAATCAAGATTGGATGTTTTTCTAAAACATATGTTGTAGTTCAAACAGGAATGAATTCAGGGAAGTCCTATGGCCTGTGTCATATTAATAATATATAATAATAAGGTAATCTATGAATTTATGAAACATCAATACTCAAATTTATCACAAAAAGCCTTTTGTCAATCACTATTATGAAAGACTCTCTAGTTTCTGGACTTCTGCCTAGCACAATCTGCTACCCCCTCTGCTGAAAGATGTTTTGATGATTTCCTGAAAGCCCCCATCATCAACAGATGCTTCTTTGGCTTCTATATGATGCCAAATGAGGTGGTTGTGTGCCCTTGTGCTACTGTTCTTCAAAACCCCTGTCTCCCAAAAGTTTAGCCAAAAGACAAGACATTTAGTGTAGAGAAGGATTCAAGATTTGCTTCAGATCTCATGTAATACCACTGACCATGATGTAGCCTGGGTGGGAGGGAGCTAGGAAAGGAAGGAGACACAAGGCCCTC